ACTGTGGGGCCCTCCAGCCGGTTTTCTTCTTTGTTGCTGTATGCTGTAAGATGGCACTGGGAGGGCGGGTTGTGGGCGTGACTTCTGGAATCAGAGGTTGCCTGGGAGCCTGGGTGGACCCATTGCAGTTTGGAAAAAATGTACTGGTGCCCGCATGCCATGAAATCTCTTTTTAACTATCACAACCTTCAAGATACTAGAATTAAACTACACCCATTGTGAATACATATAATAAATCAATCTGTTTCAAGGACAATGTTGGAAGAACTTAATATCAGAATGAATAAAATCAAGTACCACACAAGATATGTTTAGTTGTAAAATTTATTTGCAAAGAAATATGCATATTTTTCTAATAGCCATGCTTAAGTCTATTGCGCTTCTCTCAGAATATTCAGTCGAATGATAAAATTCCCATTAAATTGAATCACTGCCCTTATTGAGAAATCAAGAGCCACGAAGAAATCATATTATGCATTCATAGTAATAAAATTATAGTTTTTCAGAGAAATTTTCAATTTATTCTCTTTATAAGTTTCAGTTTTGGAAAATGAAAAGCATTACCATAAGTGTTGATAACATCAAAACCCATATATAATAGGATACATTAAATAATTTCTTCCCTAACAATAAGAATGAACAAAATATTTGAATTTTTATTCATTTTAGAAGACAAAATTTTGGAAGAAACAAACCATTGTAGTATTATATTTCATCAGATGTTATTTATTTAGGTATATATATGCATAACTAAAAAGCAACATGTATATTTCTTTTAAATTTTATAAGAAATCAATTTTATTTCCCATTTAATTTTAACTGATTCTAAATGTTTAAGAAATTCCAAATAAACCATAAGCTTTATTGTGACTTAGCAAAATGTATGATAATTTTGTAAAACTTATTTCTAAAACTGGGTATAAGGCAAAAAAAAATCAACTTTTTTTCACATCAATATCCTCAATGAATGGAAGAAATAATCTATCAATTATTTCATTAAACATGGGCTCATTAAATGTGTGCTTTAATTTTATCAGACACATTACTGACCTTCTTAAAAACATATGAAATTATTTCTGAACATTATTTCCAATTGTCTGCAAGCATACTAATAAATGATTTCTTTTCAAGATTCTGTATTTTATGATGCCACATTCTAGATCACCTTTTGGTGAAGAAAGCCTTGGTGATTGATAATTTTATTGTGCAACAATTTGTGTTGAAATGCAGGTTATGAATAGAGTGAACTCCTTTGGTTCTCTTTTACAGGTAAAATAGTTGGAAAGGTATGTAATTGATTTTTTATTTTGCAGCCACACTCTTTGGGACTACAGAGGTGCCTTGGCGATCTAAAGGTGATTGCAAACAGCTTGTGAATATGGTTTTGGTTCCCACTACTGGTAAAAATTAAATGATTAACTATTTAAACTAAATAAATTATAAAAACTTGGTACTATTCAAGTAATTGTTAAAGAAGTTTGTTTATGACTTTGGTTGGTAGTTGGCAATTTGCTTTTGTACAATAGTGCTTTAGAATAATTACATCCCAACCAATTTCTATGTTCTATCATTTCGGTCGTTTACTTGAATATTGGCTATAAATGGCATGATACAGAACATGGGGAAATAAATGAAACAAAGAATTTAATTTTAGGTGGAATAACTTGCCAAAGAACATATGAGAGATTGGACTATTTCTTGAATAAATGCCCCAAAATTACAGTGTCTCAAAAAACCTGACAATAATTCTAAGTAGAATCAAATCCCATAATGCTTTGTAATCTTGGTAAAATGAATATGAGTCATTGCCAGTTTAGACAGATACATCCTGGGTGAATATGTTTTTGCTCATGGGCAATGCCATCCATACATGATTGGAAGTGGTGGTCTACAATGACCTCCTTTATTTTCCGACATTGATCTTTATTTCCCATATCGTAAGCAATTTTGAAGTATTTCCTACTTCAAAGAGAATGACACTAGAGTTAAGACTAAAATGTGGGTCAAAAATTCAAATTATATTTATAATATTTAAGATTGCACTAGTATTCAAAATTACCCCTGTCATGTCTTAGGAAGGGCTTGTTGACAATAAAAAAATAAATAGCGAATGTGGAGAAATGATATTAGCTAGCCAAAAAGTTGTTTTTAATTTTCCATAGATAATTTGCTAAGAAAGTTTCTGGGAGACTATTGGACTGTGATCATTTACCTTGGAGATATGGGAATTAAATACACGATTTAAAGATTTTTTTTAAAATTTAAAAAATTCTTTTAGCGGAGGAAGTTGGGCTACATTAAGGGATGCTCAGGGGTCACTTCTGGTGAGCTGAGAGATCATATGTGGTGCCGGGGATCAAACCCAGGAAGAGAAAATTTGCAACAGAAACTTTTACAGAGTTGAGCTACACATAATAATACATGCACAGAATAAAGACAAAGGAAAACACCACTGTTTTCGTCAGAAAAACCAGCACTTTTCCCCCTGGTGTTATGTCTTTGGATATGTACTGCCTTGGAGAAATGTATAAATCATTCTTTTATACATGGAACTGTCTTAGAAAACTAGAGATTTTAGTACAAAGGAATCAATTCACTGAAAGAATGCCCATAGGCCATTGTTATTAGTTATTATAAATACACAAGAGGTGCTTCCAAAGAACTCCTGTTTTACAGTTATTGATAAAGATTAACATAGTGGGTTTCCACTTTCTCCGGGCCTGAGTTACACTTAGTATTATAAATAATATAATAACAATGCTTAAAATACTGATATAAAACAGTTTCAAGATGATATTTCCAAAAAATACTCCTCCTTTTAAAATTGAACTGTTTAATCCAGGCTTTCATTTTGAATGTTTCAGCTTTAAAAAAGGTTTCTCAAGAAAATACCACTGTTCAAAATGTCTCTTAAAATGTCTATTAATTGAAAGATTTTCTTAAATAGATTATTTCTTTAAAAAGTATAATTCAAAAGCCTATCAGGAAAACAAAACTATAAACTCCAAAGCCCAAAACAAAAACATTATTTGTGTTACATAGCTTTTCCTTATCCTGGGAAAAACCTTGGTCACATTCTCATGCTAATTTATTTACAGAATTCAAGTAGTCTAACCACACATGCCAACCTTCAGGACAAATCAAGTTGAATTTCACAATTAGTAATCATGATTTTTCTATTTGATTTCTTAATTATTTCCCAGTACATAATGTATATCAGCATGGCTATTTTAGCTTCCAAAGTATCATGGGAAGCAGTCTCATTAAGCCAAGCAAATTGCAGTATGTATTGTTCTCTTTTGGCAAAATTACAAATATATAAAGAAAGAAAACATTTGACAAACATTCATCTTAATGCACGTGTAGCTTCCTTTGGAAAAACAAAATTACAAGTACAATGTTTATTAGACTCTTCATCAATTCTAATCAAAGTTTGAAATTTTTCCATTTTAAGAGGTAAAGTTTAGGGTCGGTTGGAGATAATCTGATGGCTTCTTCTCAAAGCACAGAGCTAAAAATGTTGTTGTGTCAGAAGGTGCATTTGCTACATAGCTTTGACTGGAGGAGGTCAGTCAGATGTCATACCAAAGCCGCTATCTCAATTTCCCTTTATTCATTTCATTTTCACTTGCAGATGGATTACACTTGGTAGAGAAGGCATGGGAAACAGACGTTACAGCAAGGATGACAATTTCAATTTACATGGACTATAACTAATGTGAATAAAGTTACTACTTCTTGCCTTTTCATCAGAATGCCATACTTCTGAGTTTTACTGTTCTTGTTAATTTTTTTCTTATCACAGAGTACAGCTTCATTATTAAGTAAGCAAAGAAATTTTAATTTACATTCATTGTTCTATCTCATGTATACCTTTTGCCATAAAATATGTTGGCCCATATTTGTAAAAGAGAAGTATTTTCATCAAATGAGTTTTAAATATTTGTTAGCAATTCACTGCTAAGATCAGATGGACGATATCACATATATGTTACTGCTTTGTCCAAGTCTTGGTTAAAAAATCATTGATATATTATGTACTGGGATACCAAGAAATCAACATTCTGTTCCTCTATTCATCATCCATGGGTGTGGGTTGATGTCTTTATAGTGAAATTGGACATGGATTTAAAGTAAGTATTTTTAAAAGAAAAGGAGATTTTTCTTAGACTATCCTATCTCCCCATTTCTAGCAGTATGCTGATAATACCATGGCCATGACTTAAACAAAGAAATGTGTTATTTTCCTTGAATGGTTTGACAAAATTAAACTAACATTATAACCCCATTGTAAACATCCTAGTACTTCAATATCAATTCCAGAAAAACTAAAGTAAAATTCTTCAAAGATCATATGGTCATTCTGTATTTGGCTAGCAATTACTCAGTCTGAAATCCCATGTACACTAGTGTGAACTAGAAATTATAGGATGAGAGACAGCCATTTCTCTTTCAAGACTATGGCAGAATCAGCTTGAATATATGTAAAAGAGAAAGAAATTTCTCTCTCTCGTTCACATTCAAACAAGTTCATTTTCCAAGTGAATAGACAACCAAATATAAGCTGTTTAATCCATACTTTCCCTCTATTAACTATGTAATTTAAAATTCTTTACAATTCCTTCATCTGCTACCCCGCACATCTATTTTTCACAGTAATACCATTTAGCAAACAGGGTGCTATGTGATAACTAACGTGATTCCAATGCACATCTGTGACTGAAAAATATAGAAAGCAAATAAATTATGGACTATATAAACCAGCAAGATGGCTCCATTTATTATATTGACGTATACTATGTATATAATTAAATATCCAAGGCAATTCGACCTAATTCCCATCACATGCTTGAACCCTCATTCTAAAATAAAGGGATACGGTTCTCTGTCTGCAACTACAGATAGAAAAATAATGAGAAGAACATGACTCTTTACGTATGAGGATGCACATGAAACAAACCAGCTTCATCCTCTCCAGGAGGCGGACTTGAGGGGCTTCCTCACCCATCGTGTTGGCCTAGAGCCTGCAGCTCAGTGGTGTGTAAACTGTGGTTGAGGAAAACGTTTTTCCTGCTGTACATGTGTAAGGAGATTGGCCCTCGAGGAGGCTGGCCAAACCTGCCAGTAAACGGGGAGTACTGTCCAGCCACAGTGGCGCGGTCCTTTGGTTTCTCTGAGAACATGGAAAACTCTTCTGCCTTGGCCGTTGACTTCAAAGAGTTGCATGGCCCAGTGGGGCAGGAGTTCTGGGTGACGCCTGAAGGCAGGGTTTCAGGAGCCCCTCTGGAGTGCCTGAGACCGTCCACCAGCTCCTTGTCCTTCAAGACATTGCTGAGACAGACGCTTGGTAGTTGACAGGTCTTGCTGGGGAAGGGGCCCGTCTGGTCAGCAGCTGCGTGTCTACACCGGTCCTCTGTGGGAGTAAGCGTTACCTTTCTGTCCCTTGTGCTGAGGCTTTGACTCACAATTCGATTTCGATATGTAGCCTAGGGGAAGGAAGCAGAAAGGAAAAGAGGTTTGGAAGAGATATACAGAGATACTTGAATACAGTGCCTGGTGCACATTTTTATGCAAAGTCCATCTTTGCAGCAATATTTAAAAAAAAACAATAGAATTTTTCATGAGATTGGATTTCCCCCAAGCAGTACTATTATAGTACTATTGCAAATATAATTCTTTTATTTTTGTAATATATTATTTTTGTAATATATATTACAAAATATATTACAAATATATTACAGTACTATTACAAATATACAGTACTTATTTAAAGTATTCTTTGCTGTAAGAACTGGGTAATGTTTTAAATAATTTAAATTAGTGAATAACTGCGGGCTGGAGCGATAGCACAGCAGATAGGGTGTTTGCCTGGCACGCGACTGACCCGGGTTCGATTCCTCCTTCCCTCTCAGAGAGCCCGGGAAGCTACTGAGGTATCTTGCATGCAAGGCAGAGCCTGGCAAGCTCCCCCTGGTGTATTCGATATGCCAAAAACAGTAACAACAGGTCTCTCAATGGAGATCTTACTGGTGCCCGCTCGAGCAAATGGATGAACGATGGGAGGACAGTGCTACAGTGCTTTTACAAATAGTGGCTCAATGACTTTGAAAGACTTTTTATCAAAGGGTTTTGTAAGAATTAAAAAAAAAAGTGGGAGAAGAGATTTCCCATCCATCCCTGTTTCTATACATGCATTATCTACTGTGTTATCAATTTCATTCACAGAATAGTATCGCTGTCACTGTCCTCCCGTTGTTCATCGATTTGCTCGAAGGAGCTCAGTAATGTCTCCACTGGAGACTTTGTTGTTACTGTGTTTGGCATATCGAATACGCCACAGGGAGCTTGCCAGGCTTTGCCGTGTGGGCAAGATACTCTTGATAGCTTGCCAGGCTCTCCGAGAGGGGCGGAGGAATTGAACCCGGGTCGGCCATGTTGGCTGTGTGCAAGGCAAACGCCCTACCGCTGTGCTATCGCTCCAGCCCAGAGATGAACCTACATTGATTCTACACTTTATAACCCATCAACATCCATGGTTTTCATTATAGTTTACACAGTGTGGAAACATACAACAACATGTTCCTATCATTTTACAAGCACATGGAATGCTTTCAGTGCCATAAAAATGCCATGTCTTCATTCCTCATTACCACCTCTTGCCACCACCACCCACCCCACCCCTGGTGCCATGCCACGCATAAATCTTTTCTCTGGATCTCTTGGTTGGGGTGCCATGTATTTGAAAGTATACAATATAGAGTCATTCCAGAGTCATTTCTTTCCGTTGGTAGTATACATTTAAGTATCATCGTAAAAACATATTTTCATGATGGAAGCTCATGTCATTTTGTGTTGAACTAAAAAATGTTTTGAAATTTTTCTAGGTTTCTGAAATTTTTTGTAATTGAAAGAAGATAGTACACGGGCAAGTTCCTGAGGCAATCTTCGCATTCATTCTAAGTTTCCAATTTACTCATCAGTCAAAGACAAATTTACATTCATAATTCTATACATAACTCTATACATTCATAACTCTATACTCTATACATAGGGGCTGGAGCGATAGCACAGCGGGTAGGGCGTTCGCCTTATAAGCGGCCAACATGGCCGACCCGAGTTCGATTCCTCCGCCCCTCTCGGAGAGCCCGGCAAGCTACCGAGAGTATTCGATATGCCAGACACAGTAACAACAAAGTCTCCAATGGAGATGTTACTGGGCCCGCTCGAGCAAATCGACAATCAACGGGAGGACCTTTATCTTTTACCTTTACCTAACTCTATACATATGGCTAAATTTCTACAGATGGAAAAGACTGCATGAATTACTAGAGTATCTGATATTATACCTGGAGAAAATTTATCTAAATTACAACAATTATTACTTTAACAATTAAGGACAGTGATTGATTTATACACTACTTTGATATTTTGAATAATTTTAGAATAATAACAAGAAAACCAAATAACTTTTTTGGGGGGGTACATCTGGCTATGTTCAGAGCTTCCTCCTTGTTCTGTGCTCAGGGTTCCCTCCTGCTATGCTCAGGGGTCAAACTTCATACTGAGTATTAAATCCAGGTGGCTTGATGCAAGGCAAGAACCTTTCTCTCTGGCCCAACAAATAATTGTCTTCTCAGATTTTATATGTAATAATATATACCTGCAATAATACAATATTTTGTCTACAATAGCAAGCAAGACAATGAATGTTTAAATCATGACAATCTCTACTACATTTTATGCATTACTACTTTTAGTGGGGGGCGATAGCACAGCGGTAGGGTGTTTGCCTTGCATGCCACCGACCCAATCAACCTGGATTCAACTCTTTTGCCCCTCTTGGAGAGCGTATCTTGGCGATACCGAGAGTATCTCGCCTGCACGGTAAAGCCTGGTAAGCTCCTCCTGACGTATTCAATATGCCAAATACAGTAACACCAAGTCTCACAATGGAGACGTTACTGGGCCTGCTTAAGCAAATCGTTGAACAACGGGAGGACAGTGACAGTGACTTTCAGTGCCTATCTATGACGAAGAAAAAAGCAGCTTCTTTTTTTATTATTATTAAAAGTACTCCTAGCGATAGCACAGCGGGTAGGGCGTTTGCCTTACAAGCGGCCAACATGGCCGACCCGAGTTCGATTCCTCCGCCCCTCTCGGAGAGCCCGGCAAGCTACCGAGAGTATTCGATATGCCAGACACAGTAACAACAAAGTCTCCAATGGAGACGTTACTGGGCCCGCTCGAGCAAATCGACGATCAACGGGAGGGCCTTTACTTATTAAAAGTACTCCAGTGCTGGAGCGATAGCACAACGGTAGGGCGTTTGCCTGCACGTGGCCGGTCCCACTGACCCGGGTTCGATTCCTCTGCCCCTCACGGAGAGCCCTGCAAGCTACTGAGAGAATCTTGCCTGCAAGGCAAAGCCTGGCAAGCTCCCTGTGATGTACTCAATATGCCAAACACAGCAACAACAAGTCTCACAATGGTGAGAGAGGTTACTGGGCTTGCAAATCGATGAACAACGGGAGGACAGTGCTATAGTGCTACTCCAGGCTTCCAAGCATCACGAGGTGCTCTGGGGCTCAAATATTTCGATATCAGAACTCATGCTTCAGAGTGGGAGTTTCTACCCACAGTACTATTAATTGACAGGAGAGATGCTATATAACACAATGGGGGGGGGTAATGTCTGCATTATAGGAAAATTATTAGCAGCGCTTTTTCCTACTCATCTATGGCAATAGTACCTGTACTCAATTGTGACAACTAAAAATATGTTTAATTCCAAACGTTCCATGCAATGGAAAATTAGGCCCTGTGAAGAAACACCGTCCTAAGGATCAGTAATAGTACAGTGGGTAGGCCACTTGCATTGCATGTAGCTGACCCAAGATCAATCCCCAGTACCACATATGGTCCCCTGAGCACTACCAGGAGTGATCCCTGAAATTCAGAGCCAGGAGTGAATACTGAGCAGTACTTGGTGTGGCCCAACTCATTGCCTCTCCCCCTAAAATAGTTCCCTAAACTACCATGCCTTCTTTCATTAAATCAATACTCTGACCAATACAATACTGCTGAAGTAAGAAACGCCATAGACATAAACTGTTAATCCTTTATAACTTATTTTATATTAATTAAATCCATGATTCAATATTTTAGGGTTAACTATTAGTAAACATTTTAATTGAGACATTTATTTATTTATTCATTTTTTAGTTTAAAAAATTTTTAATAGAGAGACACCATGAGGTACAGTTGCAGACTTACACATTTTTGTGCTTGGGTTTCAATTATACAATGATCAAATACCCATCCCTCCACCGGTGCCCATTTCCCACCACCACGGATCCCAGTATCCGTCCCACCCCCCATCCCCTCCATCCCACCCTGCCTCTGTGGCGGGGCATTCCCTTTTGTTCTCTCTCTCTTATTGGGTGTTGTGGTTTGCAAAAGAGGCAATGGGTGACAATCATGTTTAGTCTATAGTCTACTTTCCGCATGCTTCTCCCATTCTGGGAGGATCCTCCCAAAAACCTTTATTTGGTGCTCCCCTCTCTATCTGAGCTCCCTTTTCCCCTAGTATGTGTGGTTGGCCTCCAAACCACAGAGTAAAATTCCTGGTACTAATCTTGGCCATTCTTGGGTGTTAGTCTCCTATTTTGTTACTTTATGTTGCCCAGATGAATGCAATCTTTCTATGTCTATCCCTTTCTTTCTGAGTCATTTTGCTTAACATGATACTTTCCATGTAGTACCACTTGTACGTAAATTTCATGACTTCATGTCTTATGAATTACCAACACCAAATGGTCCTTTACATGTTTCACTACTTGATACATTGGTGAGTTCCTTTCCACAGATTGGCAGGGCTAGAAAAAAATACCAAATAGCTCTGTGTGTGTGTGTGTGTGTGTGTGTGTGTGTGTGTGTGTATGCGAGCGCACGCACATGCTGTAACCCAACCCGTATGAAGAATTCTTAGCTCGAATGTGATTTCAATGAGAATTTCAGAGAAGTACTGCTTTATAATCGCAAAGGGCACAAATGATCAAGGTCTCAGCAGAAATGGAATAAAAGTAGAGTTCTGCGTAACTGATACTACAGGAAAATTGATTTCTAAATTTGAAAAAAAAAATAAATGAAAGCTTAAGCTATATTTATTTGCCTAAGAGAAATAAATAGAAAACATATATTCTTGCACAGCAAATGTAATATTACATAACTGTAGTGGTCCACTATGGCAACCTTGTGAAAAATGAGTCATTTGCCTGGAAATTCAGATGCCTAATATCTAGCACAGAACATTAGGTGAAGTGTTCTTAATTAAAGGTAGTTTTTTATTTTTATTTATTCATTTATTTTTTTGCTTTTTGGGTCACACCCGGCGATGCACAGGGGTTACTCCTGGCTTGTGCACTCAGAAATTACTCCTGGCAGTGCTCGGGGGACCATATGAGATGCTGGGAATTGAACTCCGGTT